TCAAATACTTAACTGCATAAATAAAATAAATAAATAATTATAATTGCATAAGTTGATAAAAAATGCTATGCAATAGCTTTACCGCGGCAGTCACCGAGTGCCACACGTATTTTTTATTTAATTTTTCATTGTCATTATAAATTTGATGTTATATTATATTATGAGTTTAGTAAAGAGTTACAAAATAAACATAAGTTATTTAACGTTACGCAACATTGTGCACTATCTACTTCAGTTTAGTAGTTTACTGTGCGGATCTAATAAAATGTATATACTATTTGTTGTGTAGACGAGACGCAGAGCGATCCTTTATATAAGCTCATTCCGACGATATAAACTCATATATATGAACTGCCCAAGAAATGGTGATGAGGTATCAAGTTAAATCTAAACCTATAAAATATACTCAGATAGACTGAAGTCAATAATTAGGTCTCATAGGATGTTGATGCTGTTTACATATTAAACTGGTGATTAATTACGGCAGAATCAAAGACGAGATTACCAATAATCAGCAGCAGAGAATTCAAAGCCTGATAATAATGGGATTAACACAAACTTTTTGATAACCTATACTATGAGCGAAGACTCGAAACTGCGCTCTCTTTTTATGAATTTTCCTTAGAATAATATTATAAAAAGTTTGCGTTAATCGGTCCATCATAATCCCTACTTTATACGGTACTTCAAAGTTAAGATGTGCTCAAGTCGAACTTGAATGTTTTTTTTTTTCTTTTACTATCGTCTTTTTTTTAAATACTAGCACTTAATCGCGTGTATTAATATTATATTATGTATATTTATATTGCACCACCTACCTAGTTTTCTCTGTTCTAATCCTTACACCTTTGGTTGCCTGGAAGAGATCGCTATGTAGCGATAAGGCCCCCAAATTGTACTTACATAATATTATAATCTGCTTTTTGTTTTGTTATCTGTATATTTGTTTGTGGTCTACAATAAAAGTATATTCATTCATTCATAGCTAACGGTATTGTTTCAAATATTCCAGATAGCCAATCCAAGTAACCTTAAATACTCGTATTACTAGAAGTGGTTCACCAAAGTAGTCGACAGTACTCCTAATGGTGTATTAAAAACAATAACTTTATGGCAATATATTAAATTTATTTTGGGCATCAAAGACTTAATTTTTTTTATAGGAGGGTGGGCAAATGAGCATACGGCTCACCTGATGTTAAGTGACTACCACCGTCCATAAACTATTGCAATACCACGGGAATTGCAGATGCGTTGCCTGCTTTTTAGAAAGGAGTAAGCTCTTTTCTTTAAGGTCCCTAAATCGTAACGGTAAAATTTCCGGTGATAAACTATTCCACAGAAAGGTCATACGCGGAAGAAAACTCCTAGTGAAACATAGATTGGTGGACCGCCAAGCATCTAGATGGTGTGGATGATATCGGTAGGTTTGCTGCGTAGTGCGTTCACAAAATTTGGTGACGGGATTAATCCGAATAATCCTCAGAGAATTAAGAAAAAGAAAAGGAGATGCAACGTATCTTCGCAGCGCTTGTGAATTGAGCCGATCGGAAAGCACTTGGTCGTCGACGCTTCGAGCCGCTCTGCGCTGGATGCGGTAAAGTGGAAGGAGCTGGCACTGGGGAGCCCTAGCCCAAACATGGGAACAGTATGAGGCCGAACCTGCACCTTGTAAATTTGCAGGCGGTGTGCTGGCAACGAACACTGTCTCGCTTTGCTTAGCACGCCAAGCTTTTAAAAAGCCAATTTCACCTTCTCTTCCAAGTGACCACGAAAATGCACGTTAACGGATATGTTGACGCTGAGGATTTCGATACTGGCTGAGACAACAAGGGGAGTGCCTTAAAACTAATAAAATACGACTAAGGGGTTCTGTTGTCACGCGTTAACTTGTGTCTTCTGAGGATTAAACTAAGCAAGGAAACTAGTGATCCATTTGCAAATTCCTCGGGAAACTCATAGGAAGGTGTAAATGGCAATTGTTGTTAATAAAACGCACGACCGTCTGAAGCAACAGATATTTAGTAACTCACAGTGAGTAAGTTGTGTGTAAGGCTATGAGACATGGTGTGCCCGTATACTTATACATATACATGTCTGTTATAGTATAATATTTATTATTATCAATATACACAAAACAAACAACATTCCTAATTCTAATTCTAATACTTAAAACCTTAAAAATATATATATATATATATTTTTTTTTTTTTTTTTTTTTTTTTTTTTTTTTTTTATATAATAACTAAAATATATTGTTAAAAAGTTAAAAAAAAACTTGCCTAAAGGACCTCCCTTTACGTTCCCAAGATACTGGCAGCGTTTCCCCGTTGAATAGCTAGACTAATTCTTTTTCAGAGGTAGCTGCCAGCTCTTCGGTCTCCTGTGACGTCGATTAACCTTTTTGCTATGTCCTTAAAAAGGCTTATAGCGCTAGGACCCCACAGACCAAGGGTCTCGACACCGAAAGGGACAAAAATATATTCGGAGCCCAGACCCCGGTATTTGCATACTTTAGCTTCACAAGCCGCACCAGCTCTGCTGTTGATTCCATGTAAATGGGAAGGGGCCAGCGTGTCTGAACAGGTTGCATCCCATACCAGCACCCGGCCCATCTTCCATGGAATCAAACTCATACCGTCCGGTCTCTTACCATCGTCTCTTGCAATACCAGACGGCTCAAGTAGACTTGGTACGTTGACGGTGGCAAGACACCGCCGTATGATATCGTTAAGTGCTGCATGTCTCGAGAAGCAACCTTCACTTTCTGGCATGATAGCCCGTGATATCCTAGCTTGTCGACGTCACTGCCACATGGATATTTATGAGGAGCGCAGACCGGAACCCCAAGCCGTAGACAGGTTGCGATTCGGAGCGTGTCAGGCTCAAGAAATGTTCCTGTATTTGACTAGGGGTACGCGTGAAGCCAATAGACGGCCTCATACGTACCCACGGCCAAAAGCCTAGCACGTGCCGAAGTTGTACTAAAGCTCAAAAGATTGTCATATGTCAATTTGCAGTTTATGTCATCCCAGCTTCTCTGTTAATTTAGAGGAAATCGTTAGGTCAGCGTAACTGAAAAGAAGATAATTGTATATTTCCGGTATATGTTGATTTATTTCCGTCAGTAATTATTTAATTAACCGTTTATTTTTTAATTAAATAATTTACCGAATTGAAAGCATTTTTGACATCAATTTTGACCAACACGTCAGGATGTCCCTAAGTTAGGAAAGAGCGTGGACATGGACATGGATGGATGGAGGGCATGGACGGCTGCCTCACACCCTCCTTTTACACCGAAGCCTAACTGTACGGGTTGAAATTCCGAATTTAATTTCGGTAAAATATTATGTCGAACAGCAATTTTGGAGGTCAGGCGTCGTAGTGTTGATCCAACAGCAATTGGTCTCACCCCTCCGTCCTTTTTGGTGAGAGCAATGAGGTTCACGCCGAAAAGAATCAGAACAATTTCTGGATTAACATTACCGAAATACATAAAGTTGATTAATTTAGTGATCGAATTTACAAGTTGCTCACCTGCATCAACCACAGAATGCGATGTTAAGTCCTTCAAATATTGGGATGAGATTCCATCCAAACCTGCAGCCGAACCTTGTTTAAAAGATAAAATGGCATCCGTAACATCTTTGTTTTGAATTTGAAGGCATGCTTGCCCTACTGTTGGTTGGTCGAGAAAATATGGGTTTACTGGAGCTGGTGGATGTTTTGTCCGTAACACACCCTTCAGGGGTGTCAGGGGTATCTGGTGATAGCACGTCGTTCAACAAAAGCGGCCCCTGTAGTTTGGTTTATCAGTTTTTGTTATATGTAGTGTGCTGTATGAAAATAAAAATAGGTTCTTCCGGTCTTGAGTACAATTGCTTATGTAACATTTCTGGATTAATTGTGACAAATGTGTAGCAACGGTTATTCGAGCTCCTCGAGGGATTCTTTTAACTTTAGGTATACTATTTTTCAAATGGCTAAGATATGTGTGGAAAGGAGTTGGAAAGTTGGCCACAAAAGTAGGCGTACTTGGAATAATAGGGTGTATGTCTAAAGGTGAACTGTTTTGGCTAATACATTTCCTGTGTGTTTTTGTAGTGTGTATGTTGAGGCCTTTTAAGGATTTGAATGACTTGTTGCACTGTGTACATATAAGGGTCGCGTTCGCCGTGCCATCACTAGATTGGGTCACGGACTGTATTCACAATAGTTAAATACAATCACAAAAAAAACTTAAAACAAATTTAAGAAAAAAACAATAAAATACAGTTTAAGTTTTATATTTTCAGTGTAAAGAATTACACTGAAAATATAAAAAAGTCAAAGTCAAAATATGACGGCTGCTTGTTTTTGTAACAAGACGCATGCGTCGTTACGTAAGTGCGTCACAGGACGGTCCCGCAATAGGACGCTGCAGTGGAAAAGATCCAGGGACGTATGGCGTCGGTAGAACAAACGATGGCGGCCTTAGCAACCGTGTCTTGAAGTTATCGCACGCGGACTAGAACTTTCAAATACTGAACAGGCACTGTGGTGGGAAAAACAACAAAATCCCCATGCGCAAATATGAAAAATATCCCGACGAATTCTTATATATAGGTCTGAGCAGTCAGGAGATTAAACTGACTTAAAATAAATATTTTAAGAGACCCGAGCCTGCTTGTCACTGTTTTTATATAAACTATAGCCTTGTTTGCATAGATGGCTTTGCGATACGATAGCTCTTCATCAGTCAATGAAATATATATTTCATAAATCCTTTGTTACGATTTTTTTGTTAAATATTGGCATATGTCACAATCTTGAAATATTTTTATGTCTTGTAGTTAATTTTAGATATTATAAAAACCACTGTTATACTATTTAAATCTATGACACAAATAAACGTTTCATTTGTGCACTAAAATTTTACAATTAAAATGTATAGTTATTTTTATTAAAATATTTAGACAAAATAAACATAGTTGTCACCTGTCACATTTATTTTTCAATCAATTCAATTCAATCAATAAGTACCGCAAATCAGCGATACACGCGGCGCGCGGATCCCACACGCTGCGGTACGGCGAGTGCAGCATCTGCAGCCGCTGCTTCACCACTTCCGTTGGATTTGAGACAGCGTCATGCACGAATGACGCCAAGCAGCCTAACAGACCGTGCGTGATGTGTTCATGGCGGTGTCGTGTTAGGTGTCCGAGCGTGTGCATACTCTGCTCTCTTTTATTTATAACCGGATCAATCTCGTCCATTATTATAAATTCTGTTATAGTTACACTTACAATACAATACATCCCATTATTCCCCCTTCAACAAGACAGTCACTTCTCTTAAAATTATTTTCATATAAAAATAGTAATTTGTTAACGTAGTACCATATACGTATTTATTAATGTAACATAGTTCTAACTTATTAACAAGAAGTATGCACTTAGATTTAAGATCATGTTTTATTTTCTAGTTATTATAAGTATATTTATTTGTAACTATCCTTACAAAGTTACATGCTAAACAAAGTTAAAATTTTAATAGGAAAATAAACTTAAGCTAAATAATAACTAACACTTTAGCACAAAGTAATATTAAGACGTAATTTAGATTATTAAATGGTACATAACAAATATAATACATGTCTACTCTAAACCAAATCTTTGGACCGGGAACCGAACTCGTTTACTCCTTTCCGATTAAGCATTTCTAGTAAATCTATTCTCAACTCCGCTTATGTCTAAAGCCGCCTGTGGAAAGACTACCAACTTACGATACTTAGTTTCGTCTATTGGACCCGAATATGACCGCTACTTCTGTATCTTCTCGAAACGCGAGATGTTAGGACTGCAATCGTCAGTGTTCTCTCTTATATAGGAGTACTCTTTTATAGGTCTCTTCCGATTCCGAAACCCGTGAACGTAACTGATCAACATGACGGACCAACCTTATAACGTTAGTCGACTCGACCTCATATTTCAACCACTCGTCCGTTTTCCTATAGTCCCGCGCCCATACTAAATCTCCTATTTCCCAATGTCGATCTGTGCCTCCTTTATTTCCCGCAGGCATCAAACCGTGATCTAAAAGGACGTCCGAACATAAGTTTAGCTGGTGTTTCTCCAGTAGTACATTGAATACTATTCCGATAGTCTAATAAAAATCGCTGAAAAAGACAGAAGGCGTTATTTTTTCAAAGTTTGCTTTTTTAATGCTTTTTCACAGTGCGTACTGCATTTCCAGCTTCGCCGTTGGACGATGGGTACTATAGACTTTTTTTCTTTCGTGACATGACTTATCTAATAATTATCAACGGATAGGGATACAGAAGGAGGATAAGTCGCTCACGACCGTAGGCTTTGACCACTTATTCCTAGGCCCACCCTACACGTGTCCTGGGTGGTGCTAAATGAGCGACAAGCCGATAGCACAGATTCGGCTCCTCGCCGTGGTAGCGGCGTAAAATATACTACCCCATATTTCGCACCATGAGGAACCAAATAAAGAAAATGGCCCCGAGTTCCCGGCGCCCCTTTAATGGGGCAGGGGTGCGAAGAATCTCCGGGAGGAAAACCGGCAACGAGGTTCGCCACCGGTCACGTTCTGTCTCCCGGAGGGGCGAAAATTGGATTGCAGAGGCCCGTCTGGCTACTTTGAATGTATGTGGAGCAATGAATGATAAAATGGATGAAGTATGCGATATGATGTAGGATAGAGGAATAGATGTGTTATGTGTAAATGAGACAAAAAGGAAGGGGAAGGATGTCACTACACATGGCATGTATACCGCATACTGCTCTGGTGTAGACGAGATCGAGCGGGCATGTCAGGGAGTAGGTATCATCATTTCAGAAAGAATGGCCAATGTGTGAAAGAGTATGAATGTGTATGCCCAAGACTGCTATGGATACGCCCCAGACATGTCTAAGCCCACTTATATCCGAGAGCAGTTTTGGGTAATGGTAAGGATGGTGTTAATGAAATGTAAGGGAAATGAAAATATTATTATGCTAGGAAATTTTAACGGAAGGGTTGGGGTGAGGAGGCTTGGTTATGAAAGAATATTGGGAACGTTTGGTGATGAAAGTATAAATGAGAATGGTGAAAGTCTCCTCACCGTATGTATGGAAAAGAATCTTTTTGTGACTTAACTTTCGCCACAAGAGGATTCACACGTGGGGATGGGAAAGAGGTGGCAATAGAAGCATGATAGATTTCATAATTGTGGATGAAAGATTGAGGGGCGCAGTGGTAGATACAAGAGTTTACCGGGGTTCTAACGTAGGAACGGATCATTATTTGGTTTTATGCCGAATTAATGGTCTATTCAGGCGTTGGCGCCATCGATCATTTGTGTCTACCACTGCGTTACAGCGTATTAGAACAGAAAGGTTACAAGATGAAGGTGAGAAAAACAAGTTCAAATGTAGACTGAAAGAAAATATAAGTGATCTGGATGAATTATGTATGAAGGAGTTAGACTTGGAGAATGTATGGCTAAATGTTAAGAAAGGTTTAGTGGATGCAGCTACCGAAGTATGTGGTTAGTAAGAGAAAGAATGAAAGGAAAAATAATACGTTATGGTGGGATGGTGAGATATGTATGAAAGTTGAAGCAAAGAAGAGAGCATGGCTAGATTTACTAGCAACAAAGGCTGGTAATTCTAGCGGTACGAATGATGAGATTGAAAGAAAAAAAGCAGAGTTTAAACGTCTAAATAAGAGAGTAAAAGAAGTAGTTGAAAGGAAAAAGCAAGAAAGAACGGATAAGAATGATATAATAATATCGGATAACTTCCAGGCAAATATAAAAATGTTCTGGAAACTTGTCAAAACTGCCAGGGGACATTCAAAACAGCCTATAATGAATGCTATAAGAGACAAGAATGGCTATATTCTGAATGATGAAGTTTTGAGTTTTAAAGAGATGGAAGGAATATTTTAAAAGCGTGTTTATGAATGAGGAGACAACGTGTGAACTAAATGAAGTAGAAACTCCGAAAGAAGAGGAAAGAGGTAGCGAGATAAGTATAGATGAAATAATGAAAGCAATGAAAATCATGAAAGCAGGCAAGGCTGCCGGATACGATAGTGTTTTCATTTTACTGTCACGAACCTCAAGCTCGTAACAGTATTTTTGCTGCTCTATGGATATCTAGGTAAAAAAATGAAATGCACATAAGTATTGCATGCATCAAAATTTGAATTACCGACGTGATAGTGGCATTAACAACTCAGTAAGACATTAGAGCTTATCGGGCGCCCTCGGATGGTTTATAGTTTCCTATACCCGCGTAATGGCGTAACATTTGCTGCGCCGGGAGTTACGTCACATTACCCTTCTGCTCCATGACATTTTATTGCAAATAACTGGCCGAATGGACGTTATTTAAATATAGGTTATAATATTGATGGAGTTAATTTTTTATGAGGAATAAAGGTGACATATATATAGAAGAGGCGACAAACGAGCAAATGGCTTACCTGATGGTAAGTGACCACCGCCGCCAATGAACAACCGCAACACCAGGAGAATTGCAGGTGCGTTGTCGACTTTTAAGAAAGGAGTAATCTCTTTTCTTGAAGGTCCCTATCACGTATCGGTCCGGAAAAATTGCCGGTGGTAAACAGTTCCACAGAGAAGTTGTTCGAGGAAGAAAACTCCTAGTAAAACACACAGCGGTGGACCGCTAGGCATCCAGATGGTGAGGATGGTATCGTGAATTTTGACGTGATATGCATTCGTGAAATTTGGCGGCTGGAACTAATCTGTACAATTCCTCAGAACACTCCCCGTGGTAGATACGATAGAAAACGCAAAGGAATGCAACATCCCTACGTAGCGCCAGTGAATCGAGCCGATCAGAAAGAACTCGCTCGTCGACGATCCGAATCGCTCTGCGCTAGATGCGGTCAAGTGGAAAGAGCTGGCACTGGGGTGTCCCGACCCAGAGATGAGAACAGAATTCCATGTGAGGCCGAATCTCCTGCAACTATATTACTGGTATAGTTGTAACACGATTGGGTACGCTCAACCAGGGAAAGACCATGGTCTCACAGAATCCAGCGTAAAATGGCAGCTTAATGCTGCTGTGTTTCGTATGGTGAGTATAGAGAACTAGAGATCCATTTTTTTTTTGAAATGAGGCATTCCATCTTAGATCTCGCGGGTGACAACACATCTAAATTTTGATTCGTAATCGAGGGTACATGTACTTATCTATGGGCCACAGCAATCACTTACCATCCGGTGAACTGCGTGCTCGTTTGTCACCCTTATAATATAAAAAACACAGTTCACCTAATAGTAAGTAGGCCTTAGCTCATAGACATATAAATTTATCCTCAATCCGGAATCAAAATGCAGACGCGTTGTCATCTGGAATGCCTCGTTTCCAGTAAAAAGGGACCCGAGTATCTACACTCACCATGCGAAACATAGCAGTATTGAGTTGTTATTTTAAACTGTGAGAGCCATTGACTTATATATTACTAGCGTAAGGACCGGGCCGACCGAACAACTAAAACGGACCAGTTGCGCTGGTAAAATTACAGTTTAGGGCCAACGCGAATCGGCCAACAGTAGTGCGCGCGCAGGACAGATTTGCCTGTCATAAATATGTCTAGTTGCGTGGTAAAAGAATGCAAAAATTACGAAACAAAGATTAAAAAAAACATGGGATATCGTATCATCGGTTAATAACCTTATATTAATTTTGTTACAATTAAATTATTATATAAACGCATTTTTAAAGTTTTATTTTACAGTTAGTTTATTTACGTTACCAATTCAGACCCTCAAAAATATTGTACATGTAAATTAAAATTATACTATTTAAAAAAATATATCACGTTTGACGTTTCATGTTTCTTTTTTCCTCACGCGTCTAGTTTATCTATACGTTTCGTTTTTTGACGGTTTTATTTTTATTTCTGTTTAATTTTTGTCTAAAGAACTTAGTGTAAGTTAAATTTTGAATATTGGTACCTAATATATTTTATATTCAATTAGGGTAAAACGAAAAGAGTACAAAAGAAACCATATCTGCTTAATTGAATCTGAAAATCTGATTCATAAAATATTTTGAAATTCTGTTTTTAAACCGATTGCTTCTGGAGCATAGAGTTTTTATCTTGGTAGCCCCTCATTAAAGTTGTATCAAGAATGCAAAATAAATGCACTGAAAGAGCATCGATTGACCAGAAAGGGAGTTAATTCTAATTTTATTAAAAAACGCGGTAATCATGTACAATACAAAAAATT